ATATTCGATAGTACGGTCAACATTACTTACAACACTACCACCATTATAGTTACTATTGCAATCGTTGTTACTACGTTTTGTCGTTGTTGCTATGGTTATTATTATCAGTGTTACTGATGTGAAAAACGAGTCTTGCTGCAGGCAGCCTTCGCCCAGTGACCCTGGCTTCAGCAAGTAAGTACTCGCTGAGGTTAGGCTGTTCGTGCGCCCTGAATGGCCAGGTTGAACGTGACGAATGCCACGTACTTTCAATCAGAGGTGCGCACATGGCTTGCAACTCTTTTCAAACCAGTGTGGGTGATAGGCGACAGAACATGAAGCGTCCCGGCATCACAAAAGCTTACTGCCCTTTTTATGTACTCTAACAGGGAAGCACATGACGGCACCGTCGCTTCATCGTAAGCAGGCGCTCTCTTCAAATCAATTCCGCACAAGTAGCTTCGGAGGATTCTCTATCAAACGCTTCATGTGAAAGTTATTACTTCCTGCACATCACGCATCGTCCTGGTCCTGCTCACTCTGCTGTTGTTGTTAGAGTCTAACTGTTAGAGAACACGAATGCAGTACCTGAGAAAACATGAGATGGGGTGCATTCATTATAACTAAAATTGGCCAAGCCGACACCAAACACTGGCACTGCAGTGCGACTCCACTGCTCAACCGGGCGTCCTGGGTGGGCTTGGGTTGTGGGGTATCTCCTCCGGACCACAGTAGCAAACATTGCTTGTCCCAACGCCTGCGACAGTAACTAAGGCTCACAAGCCCGAACCACTCAGTTATTGACCGCAGCTGTGGCTCAAGAGATTGCAAAGATGTTGCGCTGAGCCCGAGTTGCGATTCAGCGGCTTGGGTCCAGACAGAGGGGTTCGGAATGAAATTCTTGTGGATCTACCACGCTTACGGCTTACGGCTCCATCGTACGCCCGAGGTGTTTTTAGATAAGTTGCAGCTGTTGCATGCGATACTTCAGTCGCAGCCACAGAACGGATCTTGCCAGGGACGCAACATTTTGTTTTGCACCACAGGTGACGGACATCGCGCTAACAAAACGGATCTTCGCAGGGACAACATGTTGTTCTGCCCCACGGAATATGGACATCGAGCTTGAGCAAATCGCGCTTCTGCAAGCCTTGTACCTTCATTCCTGAAGCTCTTGATAAAGTTCGTTGCATCATTGGACTCACTAGGCATGCTTCAGGGAACCTGTGCATGCTCAAGTACTGGACATCTGGCACTTCATACAACCAGATAAGCACTCTTTCACAATGCCTGCCAGTTCTGGGCCAGCCTGCTGCGAAGATGTCGCCTAGGCTTAAGCTTGCCAGATTCCGAACGCCATTAGCTGAGGTGACTTCATGCCGCAGTACGGCTTGGTTGGCGATTCGAGCCTATATTGCAAGAACGGCAAGAAGGTGAGGCGGATTGGGTCCCAATTGCAACAACAGTTGGGAACCAATGACCTTTGGTACCACGCCGTCGCCAATGCGGGCGTGCACGAAATCCTCCAGATGTTGAAGGATACCCGCTTGACCTTCGGTACGCTGGGCATAAGTTACTTCGGCAACGACGTCACGGAAGGGAGAATCCGCCCGGAGGTGCCCTGCGTTGTTCATCATGCGCATAGCACTGACCACCTTCAACAAACCTCGGTATCGGGTGCAATGAATTTGCCAAGCAGTCTTCCAATATTGAGCTTCGAATGGTTTCACAAAGTGCTACCAGGTTAAAGCTGCCTGGCAAGAGCTGCTGGAGTTGGTGGAGGACAAGGCTGACAGGGTGGTGTTCGTGGTGGGGGGCAGCTCCTGGTACCTTCGGCCGCAAGCAGATCTTTGGAAAAGCAAGGGTAAGGGCTATGCGGGTTGGGAGCTTATGACGGGTGACGGCATGCGCGTGTATGTGTAGGGTTGTGGTGTTGGATGTAGTGTTGGAATTCCGCTGAAGAGCGAAGTTGAGGCCGGAGTTTCAAACCGAGTTGTTTCTCTGGTGGCGGTGACCGTTGTCAGTTTTCTTCTTGAGGCAGAATGTTGCGGAGCCTGGGCCCGGGGGTCCATCGGATGCCAGTCGTCCCGTCATCCCGTGCGGTTGGCCCACACTTGAAGATTTGAGCTGTTGCGGCGGTGTTTCAAGTAGTCCGTTTGCGCAATATGTCATGCTCATCAACACACAGAACATTCGGTTTTTCGCTCGTGCAGTGCACCCTTCCCCAACGAAGATGCAAGCTGTAAACGCATCTTTGTCAACCCCTTCTGAGCTTCCATGTCTGCTCGGGGAAGGGTTATGGACAGTTAGGGCGGGGGGTCGCCGAGGAAGTACGCAAAGAAGTACCACCTCACCTCCCAGTACGACGAGAACCTAGCAGAAGTCAGGCATTGAACACGCCATGTCGTTGTGCAAGTTTTAGTGAACAAGCAAGCCGGGGTTTTCTGAGATCCGCTTTTGCGGCTGACAGGAGCTGGATTCG